ACCTCCACCTCCACCGTGAGTACTGAGTATTTCCAAGGTCCCCTCTTCTATCGCACATTGCCCCTTCCACCGCCCCTTTCTGGTTTCATTACTTCCTTCGTTCATGCTCATGCAGAAAGAATTGATGTGTACCTGAGAATGGCGGAGTATGGCTCACACATGTCCTGGTGTGGCTGCTAAGAGATATATCAAGTGGCTTGGACGCCTATATCCCTACTCTCACGCTGCCGCTACTCCCAATCAATGCTAACAACCACATTGTAGTGTATTCCAACCTCGTGTATCCTTCGACACATTCGACAAGCCGGCAGACTTCATCGAAGAAAATTCTTTTACCCTCATTACCAAACACAAAGACTACGAATACACGAAACGATCACGAACGTTTCTGTGTGGTCTAGATTCCAATGATTACTCTGAGTATGCCTTGGAATGGCTTATCGACGAACTGGTCGACGATGGTGACGAGATAGTGTGTCTGAGGGTAGTGGAGAAAGATTCAAACATTGCGGCTGATCCTAGTGTAGAACAAGGGGGATATCGAAGAGATGCGGAACAATTAATGAAACAAATACAAGCGAAGAATGTGGAGAACAAGGCTATCAACTTAATATTGGAATTCTCGGTTGGCAAGGTTAACAAAGTCATTGAAGAGATGGTAAGTAGCGAAGCAGAAAAAGCAATTATATTTGGCTTATGATCATCAGATAAATCTCTATGAACCAGCAATTCTTATCGTTGGCACCCGTGGCCGGAGTCTTGGTGGCTTCCAGGGCTTACTGCCGGGATCTGTATCCAAGTACTGCCTACAGCATTCCCCAGTTCCCGTCATTGTTGTTCGACCAAACTCGAAACGAGCAAAGGCCAAGAGGAAGCGATATCTAGATCCCAACAGACATGGATACAAGGATTTGTTAGACAAGAGTGGTCTGCAAGGTGGACACGTCCTAGATTCGAGCCACAGGAGCAGTCTCATCGAAGAGGAGAGTCAACCAGCTTCTGAAGATGAAGCTGCTGCAGTGGCGGCTGCAATTGGCTACCGGCCACATCTCGATCCAAGTCCTTTGGCTAATATCGAATCTGCGCCATCCGAAGAAATCGAACCGGCTTCTCCAGATTCTCCAGACAGTACACGGAGTGGATACACAGGTGGGGACTCATCTCCTGAAGATCTACGCAGTCCTGGAGTGGTTATGAAAAGTCCTGAACTCCAGAATCTGGACAGTCCGTCTGAGAGCGACGTCAGCAGCAGTGATGAAGACGCCTATGAGGACGGAGGAGTTTCAATGGATCCCAACTCTTCGGTACCAAGCGAAACTTCAACTCACGTAACCAATGATGAAGATGAAGATGTGAATAGTGCACCACTGGATAAATCCAGTCCAATTACAGAAGAGAGGGACCAGCTGACAGAAATCGTCAGGCCAAACCTCATTGAGTCGGATAAGACAGACTCGGTGGATACAGAGAAGCCGAAACAGTAGACATCACATTAGGGCGGGCAAATTGCAACGCGTTTTTGGCATCTTATGAGAAATCTGGCATTATATTTCCTGTCTTAACGTGGGCATTATTTTGACGGCTATAATGAATTCTCGAGTGATAATATTTTTAGATAATAAAGGGGGTTACAGGATAATAGCTTTAAAAATGATAATAGATATATCTGATGACGACTGTGGGGTACGAAAATTCGGACTTGGCGAAACCCAGCCGCGTCGCCTGTGCTCCGTTCCTTTGTAGGTGGTGGTGCAAGGCTCACCTCAGCTTGTTAGTTACATCGCCCAACTCTGAAATGACCCAAGCCTCAACACCAAGCACTGGAGAATCAATGGGAACTGATTCCAAGGGTGCCCCCTGTCAGCCATCCTCCGTAGCCAATTTCCGCTTCTCCCCTATAGCCGAATTCCCACCCTATGATCCCATCCGACGACTGCAATGAGTGTGTGCCGGACTATGCTAAGCGGAAGCTATCCACCTTGGCTTTCTCTTCACTACCTTTCCTTCTTACATTCCTCATTATAGCGATAGCGGTTTTCCAAAAGCTATTCCCGCTACTCTCTGGCCGGCCTCCGCGTAAAGACCANCATGAACCTCAGCTTCTTACTACGAGCTTCGGCTTTCGGGAGCAATCATCAAATACCGGACGGCTGAAGCCCACGGCCAGGACTCTCGCGGGCATTACCTTCTCGACCAACATTGCACTCTCAGCTGTCTTAGTCGAACTCATACTATGCGAAATCTCAAATACGCTTAACCCGGCGGCTAGGAGTTTGGCACTTAAGATCATACTTCCGTTGCTACTGCTCCTCCTTATCATTGCTACGCCGGCATTAGAATTACACTCGGTTATATCTACGGCAGGATGGAACTTCAGAGGATCCCGAAAAGGACAAAGAAGAGTAGCTTGGGTGCTTGAAGGCTTAGGGCTGGCTATATGGCTATTGGCTTTCTGGTACCTAGGGAGAGGTCTACTTGGATCATACTTGCACGAGATATCTTACGTCCGGGACCATAGTATCAGCGAAGGATGTCTAGAGAGGATAGGCATTATTGGAATAAGTCTGATGGCATCACTCGCTGGGTTTGCTGCTGTTAGTTCACTATGGCAAACTTTCGGCGTTAAGTATAAGCCAGTATGTGAAAATTTTCTTCTATCCTTCAAATTTTTGATTCCCGAGCTTTTTTCGGGAGCTCTCCTTTAAAATGTCACACATCTCTTCGCACTGTACTGACAATTCTTCAGGTGACCGAATCAGACATAGCCCGAAAGCAATCAGGCCTTGATGCAACCAACGAAATGCTTCTTACCAAGCAAAGCCGCCTTCGAACCATTCAGCGGAAGATGTCCGAAACTCCGCAAGAAGGCTTTATGACACGCATGATTGGCACTATTCGCGGCAATGCTGACGTCCAGGAACGTAATACCCTACAATTAGAGATTAATGGGCTTGAAACTATGCGCACATCTCTCTCTAACTCGCTACTATCTTTACAAAACCGAAGGCAAGCTCAACTCCACGCGCACACACCCTATGGGCGTCTCTGCAATTTCATCTCGTATATATTTGCAATCTACTGTCTGTACCGCCTATCTGCCACGAGTTTGACTACCGTCCATCGGTTCTCCTCTCCTAACATAAGTTTTTCAAACAGCGATCCCATCAACAACGTACTCGCACTCTTAGCCAAGCATTGGGATCCTTCCCTTGACCGTGTAGCTTGGAGTCGACAAATATCGTTCCTGCTCTCTGGTGTAATGTTACTCGCATCTTTTAACAGCGTCCTCCAAACTTTCCTGCTATTCACCCGCCTTGCACCCGGTATCTTGCATCATGCTCAAGCAAACCTCGCGCTTCTTGTTTCTCAAATAAGTGCAACTTATGTCATAAGTTCTGCTCTTCTGTTAAGGAGCAATCTTCCGAGTGAGGTGAGAAGTGTAATATCAGATGCTTTGGGTGCACCACTTGAGCCAGGATTTACAGAGAGGTGGTTTGAGGGATGGTTTCTAGCGGTCAGTGCGTTGACCGCATTGGGCATTTGGATTGGCAGGGGGGTTCGGGGTGGTGGGTGGGATGATGACGACGAGCTAGGAGACGGCGATATAGAGATGGGGAAGAGGAGTTGATAAGTATGGACCAGTTGGATAGTCGAATTATCAAACCAATATGAAAACATTGCTTCTCCGTCTAAGTACAAAAATAGATATGATGGGTAATACACAATACCTTGTTTGACAGGGTCGGAATCCTAGAGAATGCTTAAGGTGTGCGAGCTAACGTGCTAAACAAGCCAATTTGCCATACTATGTCAGCTCCTATAATCCTGGAGGCCGTTGACGTCGTTGGATGCACCGATGCCCAAAGTGGACGCCAAGAACCGATATGGGAGAATGACGTCGTCGTAGGGCAATTTAATAATGCAAAGCGCTGGGCCATACTAACACTTTTCACACTCCAAATAACTATCTAGACATTTTCCTCAAAGCTACAGAAAACTCAATTGCCATTGAATAACTAGAATCCTTTCCTAGTGAGTCTCCGACTTGCCAAAGCCAACTCTATCCTATTGAGCATTACCCGGCTAACATTCTTGTGCTCAAATACCTTCTTTCATTCCAATACAAGTACCCTACGCCTTTCCGTTGTTCTTATTCATCTTCAAACTCTTATATACCGTTGTCTCCCCTCTCTCTTCCCAGCTACCCTAGTCTAACCCATCTGCCGTCCAAGAAACCCCATCAAAAATGTCTGCTCCAAACGCTGGCCGCCAGTCACCCGAACCCGAGCGCCAGACCGGTGCCCAGCAACAAGACGCACAAGCCAAGCCCAACGAGCTAGGTGGTGCCCCGTCGATGGAGCACGCAAAGGAGGCGTCGGACGACCAAAAGGCAAACCTATCGAGCAACCCAACGCATCCACTTGAGAAGTATGCGGAGGAGAAGACGAGTAAGAAATAGACTAGGGAATCTAGAGAGATGTAGTGGGGTGGAGCATTGGATTGATGTACGTTTAAGATAAGATCGGGGAGAGCATGAAGCATGCTCGAAGGGAGTCACTGGGCTGTGAGAGGAAGTCCAGGAAATCCCAATTGATAGTGATATGGTTAATGGATTTGAGTGACTCTACTTTCCCAATAACTTAGATCTTATATTCATGATTCGCCCATGTGAGCAGTCTTTATGGAAATACCCATTACTTGCCTGATGCCTACATGCCGTCCACTACGGTTGGTTATCAGATGGAGCATTGTGGTCTTATCGATACCCCAAAAAACCCAGGTGTCCTCGAATTTGCCTCGTCTAATGACTTACTGGCGGTATCAGCAACTCTCAACAAAATTCCACTACTGTCATCATGTTCTGCATAAGATATGATGGCTTGGCGAAGCTCGCTTCGCAATCTACCCGCAAAAAATTGAAAACCCCCCCCCTGAGAGCACTCCCAAGCAACAGATGAAGCAAAAACAATGTCCCCAGGGCCTCAATGGAGCAAAACATATGGACACTGTGGGAATTGAACCCACGACCTTTCACAATCACACTATGAGTTGATGCGAAGCGAAACTAACAAATAAGCATTGAACAAGCGGTAGGTCAGGTGGGTGAAACTCACATCATACCCCTAGACCAAGTGCCCAATGGAAATTTGACAGAAAAATAAAAAATATATGACTATTTGTAAGAGCAGGGGTAGCAAGCCTTTTCATGTAAGCCCTATCCTAGCGCCTTGAAAACTTTACAAGAGCATCATCCATCACGGTAAGCTAAACACAGTTGCATATGTATACCAGCCCAAGTTATATATTTCAAATAGCATACCTATCCTTTGCAATATGCAGAACGTTTTTTTCAAGATACAGGTTTTATTCAAGTAACCAATTTCCCCTCTATTCGCATAGCCTAGCACTCCGCTTCTTACCCCATTCATTTCAAGTTATAAGACGATAACCTTTCTCTTATTTTATGCAGATCCCTTCTTGCTAACGTATACCATACTACATGGTTTCAACAGAGGAACCGATCGTTGTGAGTGCATATGCCTTTAAGTTCAATATGGAGGAAATGTAATGCCGAGACCCAGCACATTTAACGCCGACGGGCCCTATGCGATATACAGATTCAATTTTCCAACGGCCCATTCGTTTTCAGTCTAGAGCCAGCATTTTGAGCTCAGATGTCCTAATACTAGCAATTCAGGCCCAGTAGTACTACCCAGCATTATGAAAAATTCAGCCCGGACACCTATACTGCGACTACCAAGCCGTGCCAGTAACTAAGCCGGAGGCTCTCTACAACAGCTACTAAGCCAGATACTCTATACTGCGGCTACCAAGCCCTACCAGCAATTGGGCCGGAGGCTATATACTACAATTAGCTACCAAGCCTACTAACAATTAGGCCTGAAACCCTACACCAAATGCTGCTGCTTGGCCCTAGAAAAAATTTAACCTAGGCACATAAAGGCTAAGGGTGAGAAGTGGTGCGTCTGCTGGCCCCTATCAACAATGTAAGCTGGGAGACCCTATAGGAAATTGTCGACCTGAATCGGATTTTGCCACCTTGACTCGGTCACTAACCCCTTGACTCGGTCACCGACCCCTTAACTCTGTCACTGACTCAGTCACCTTCATGTATTTATAGAGGCTCTAAAGCCACATTCAATAGACAGACTTCTCATTCTTGACCTGCGCACGGACCTACGATTGACAGAAATGGTCTTGCTTACTGTTGAACGTAGAATCGGATGAGGACTCTGTATCTTAAATATGGCTCTAAAAGCTCTTTATATACATCAGGGAGGTCTAGACAACTGAGTCAAAATAGGTAATAGAAATAGGTAATGAGGCATTCGATGAGACATTTAGTCATAAGTTGAGAGACAACTAAGACATAGTTCGTATAGACGATCTAGGTCGTCAGACAGTAGTACAGCTTTGTTGACGGCCAGCTTCCACCCCCCCCCCCAGGCGAGCTGCGATTTTTGTACGCCATTTAATTTCGCTTGGTCGCCACCAATTGTACATAGTAATCGTAGCGAAGCCATATGCTTGGTTGTAAGAACCCCCTAATCCTGGCGAACTTAAAGCTATTTGTGATTGGCTTCCCTCCGCAGTGTCGTAATCTTTGTTAAATATCGTAAGGTTTCTACCCGTACTATATTTATAATATGGCTCTGTGATTGGGCCTATATTAGTACGCCCTAATTAAGGATCTTTTTTGACTTGGAGCAACTTAAGCAGAGTGTGCCTTAGCTGCTGGTTATGCACCCCAATTAATTACCGCGATTAAGAGGAACTTATATATATTTAGATTAACTTAGGCGCCTTTAAACAGTGCGGGGGGGGTAGTTTTTACTAAGCAATCGGATGATTGTGGTAATATTAATACGGCTAGATAAGAAGCCAACTCTCTTTAGCAATAAGTTATAGTGGTTAATCTATAATATGTTTAATCCTATAGTAAGCCGCTTTATAATATTTTAAGAGCTTTATTTAGCTAGCTGGATAAGGAAGCGGGTAAGCTAATTAGATCCTCTATAGACGAAGCTTAGAGAGTAGCTTATACGAAGAAGTATTACTAGGTAGCCCTTAAATAAAGCGCTTACAATCGCGATATATATTTCGCTATTATATTATAGTATACCGACAATTAGCTTATATTTGTAGATAAGTTAGGTATAGATTTAAAGATAGGTATATTGTCGACCTAAATCGGAGTTTCTTACCACTATTATATACTGTCTAACGACCTAGATCGTCTATACAAACTATATCTTAGTTATCTCTCAACTTATAACTAAATATCTCATCAAATATCTCATTACCTATTTTCTATTACCTATTTTGACTTAGTTGTCTAAACCTATCTAATGTATATAAGGAGCTTCTAGAGCCTTTATTAATAGATAGAGTTCTTATTCCTAATTATTTGTTTAATAGTTATAAGCCCAGGCCGTTTACTATATTATTATTAATTCCAAAACCTTTATTCCCATTAATTTTAATTATTATCTTAATTATAGATAACCACCTATAATAACTTCTTAATAAGAAACCCCTCCCGTTATTATATTATCTATTATCCTTATAAGGCTAAATAATTGGGACGAATAGATTAAGGTTATTAAGTTAAAAGCAAATAATAATCGTCTTTAAAAGTATATTGACCTATTAATACCTAAGACCGATCTGCTATAGCTTAAAGAACCTATTTAAGCCTTACCTAAAAATGCTAATAGCTAGGGGAAGATGAAGCTCGTAGACCTAAATAAGAAGGAGAAGAAGGAGCTCTATACGCTTAAAGCCAACTATAGGGACAATATAAAGCTATATAGAAAACAGTTATTAGCTCTTAATACGTTGCGTAGTTACATTCTAAGCTCTATCTTATATACCTACCTTATCTACACATTTAAATGCATAACCACCTATAACGTCTTAGTGTCTCTTAAGTAGAGAATTACTCTAACTAATAGTGCCTAAAAGCTTTAACTAGCTACCCAGTATATAAGGCTTAAGAAAGCGCCTTAAAACTAAAACTTTAAGGTCTAGTTATAAGAGTAGAAGACGGTATATACTAAGTATAAGGAGCTAGATCTACTTAAGGTGAATAGTAATTATTTAGTAAAAGACTTTATATACGCAGTTAAATCTATTATACTAAGCTAGTTAGAATATTAGAAGAATTAGATTAAAAGGCTTAAGTGGAAAAAGAAGATACTTTCTACCTTCTTTAAACTGGTTAAAATATACTAAAACTACCGTTATACAGAGCTTACCTAGAAGGGTAAAACCTTATAAGGATACTTTAGAGTTACCTTTAAGGACAAGTTACCGAATTTAAAGCCTAAATCAAAGCCTTAATTATTAGTAGATAAGCAGAAAAATGAAAGGCAACTACCGCTAGAGTGCCTATACGGAAAACGTTACTATATTAATAAGTGCTAGTATATTATAGAGTCGATTCCTTACCCATCTTAGTTTAAACCAAATAACAAAATTTAGAAGAAGGTGGATAAGAAGATCGCTAATATAACGCCCGAAATTAAGGCTTATATTAAGCAAATTAAAAAGGACAATTAAGCTAATAAAAAGCTAAAGGAAGGTAACTAGTAGAGCGTTTAAGAGCTCTATAGAAACTTTACAGTTTATTATATAGGAGCCTATAACACAGCCTCTAATTATAAGCTTCGCGATAGTATTATCCTTAACTTAGAAACTAGCCTATACGTCTTTAATAATAAAGCTAGGTTTATTAGTAATATTAAGCCTATATTAGAACGCGTCTATACAGGCTCGTATATAGAAGAAATCGTAGTCTATAGTATAGCTATAGTTATAATTAACTACCTTAAAGGGAAGAGATAGATACAGCTTTTAGGAGTAGCCTTTATACTAAGCTTTTATACCAACTTAGTATATTTTAATAAGCTTAATAATAAGGGAGTCTACTAGAACAATAAAGAGAATACTCTTTTCTATAGCGACAATAAGATATACGCCTACTATAGCCGCTATTATGGTTAGAACACTATTAAATATAATAAGCTAAAAAGAGACTTACTAGAGGCTTCCTTTATAACTTAATTAAAACTAGTAAAGCATTTATTAAAGCCTCTGCTAAATTAGGTAGAAGGCTATATATAGTATTAGCGATTAAGCTATATAAGAAAAGACGCAATTAAGTAACTACCTTAGTTAGTAATAGGCGCGATTCTAAAGGGCCTAATAATGGTAAAAGATAAATTATATGGAGTAAGTAAAGCTTATAAGGTAATATCTAGAAAACCTCTAACTTAGTTAACGGTTCCTTTCTATAAAATCTACCTTAATTTAATACCCGGAATAGTCGCATTTAATAGCAATAAGTACGCAGTATACTTCCTTAATAACGTAACACGAATAAATAAGGTAGAGATAATAGCTAAAAAGCCGTCCCTTACCTAAATTATTATTAAATATTACAATATTATTAAACAATAATAAGGCTTTAAGGTAGCTATTATCTATATAGATAGAGAGACATCTCTTATAGGCGAATTTAAGAAATAGGCAGCTGAATAAGGAATTAGTTTTAAAAGATTAGCACTTAATACTTAATTATAAAACGGCCTAGCGGAATAATCTAGGGGGGTAATTATATAGAAGGCTTGGTATATAAGGATTAAGGCCTATTTACTAGAGAAGCTATATTCTAAAGTTTATAAAGTAGCTACCTATCTACTTAATTAAACGCCTAGTAGAGGACTTAGGTGGTAAATACCTTTTAAAAAAAATCTAGTTGGCTATAAAAATATTACCACTAAAACCTAATATAGGCTACTTATAAGTTTACGGCTATAGGGCCTATATAGGATATCTAGTAGTGTTTATATCAACTTAATAATACAATTGAGTCATATCCAGGGGCACGAAATACGTATAGTATTGTATGCTCTTTTGGATGGTGGTAACTGTCGATTCTATTAAGGTAGACTACGTAGTCTATATACTGACGCGCCTCCCCCTAATTAGTTAGCATTTAAGTAGTTAGTGCACCAAACGCGTAACTACGCGTTTGGTATACTACGTGCTATAATTATATACTGGCGGCACTTGGATATGGCTCGCTTATATATAACCTCCGTAATCGCTTTAA